TTTTCAAATAACCATACATAACGCCCTCTAGCCCTCGGTGCATGTAAACAGAAGATCTAGACATATAGCATACACAAAACACAAACCAATGAACATCGAGTTCATACTGTCATGTCGCACCCACCTCTTGAATCCCGGACCCGATTTAGTCATCCCAGACATAACCCCAGCGCTTGCTCTCTCATAAACTACCAGATGGGTAGGTATCTGTCCCGCACCCTCACCGCGCAGCCGCTTTCGGGCTGTCGCCCGTCCGCCACGTATCTTCCTGTCTCGTCCCCGGCGGCCGCCACGCGGCATTGCTCATCCCCCTATTCCTGCCACCGCGCCCGCCGGCATCATCCGACTTCTTAGTATCGGTCATGACACTGCTCGACGCGAAGGCCGCCGCCGCTGCACTGCCGTGCGTGTATGCATGCCCGACCGCAGGGTCGCCCATCCCCACGGGGCTCTCAAAGAACGGTGGGCCGACCTGGCCCCCCGGCCCGGTCGGGAGCACATGCTTCGTGCTTAGCGGTAGTAGCGTGGCCTCCCGGCGCGTCTCGGTCATGGAGCGGGCGCGCTGGTCCGCCTTGTTCTTCTCGCTGCTGCGGTCGTACAGGTAGAGGCCCAAGAAGGTAAGGCCGATGCCGACGGCCTGGATGCGGGTGGTGGGGCTGCGGAACCAGATGATGGCGATGATGATGACGAAAACGCGCTTGATCAGCGACGCGACCGAGTACGTGACGGGCGAGACCATGGACAGAAGCACGAAGGCGAGGATGTTCTGGCCGAAGTGGAAGGTGCCGTTGAAGATGTACTCTAGTACCAACGGACCGTGGTCGAGCGAGTTGGGGCTCTGGATCAGGTCCACGCTGCCGTCCCAGAGGAAATCGCCGATGATATCGACTCCCTCCGACCATAGCCAGATGGGGCCCGTCAAGAGGAATGCCATCCCGGATGAATAACAGAGCAGGTTGAGCTTGTCGAGTTTGCGGGATTGGTGGTTGGGCCCTTCCTGCTCAGCACGCGCCGCCTCGTTGAAGAGCCGCTTGGAAAAGATGTTCTGGGTAACGAAGATCATGGCGGCGAGCAGGGCGTAGAGAATGCCGAGGAATTGCCCGCCAAACCCGTGCTTGCCCGAGCAAGCGAGCATGACACCGCAAGTAAGTGGGATGAGGGAGAGGTATGTCGCCTTGGGGTAGCGAATGTCGAAGATGAAGCGGTAGGCTAGGACGGTGAAGAGTGGGGAGAGTCCCTTGATGGTGTGGACGAGAGACACGGGTATTTTGGAGGTGGCATTCGAACTGAGGAGGTGGCCCCCTATTTGGAAGGCGGCTAGCGGTAGTGTGGTTCTGATCACATCTCGTGAAGGAGCCCGGATCGGATGCCTCAGCGCCGGGACTGCGTCTCTAAGTCGCGGGAACGTGGACGCCAGCCATGAGAACAGCATGCAGTATGAGGATACGAAGGCGAACTGGACAAGAGTCAAGGTTGCGGGCTTATCGAAGGCCGTGAGGATGGTTTTCGAGGAGGTGTTGGTCAGGGCGGACGACCAGTACCACATGACGCAGAGCCCCTGAGAAAGGGTGATCAGCATTGAGTTTTATCTCTATTCTCACAGGACTAAGAACATACGATCAGCTTCCAAGAGACGGGCGCACGAAGCGCTCCTGCGATCTCCTGGGCGTTTTGGCTCATGCTAGCGGAGCGCATTCGATGGACGGTACTGCTAATTCTGGCCTTCTTGGAATGGCCCGAGAAGCCCGAGGTGGCGTCCGGAGGAGCCCATCTTACCCTACTGTCTCTACGGGCGTGCCAGCGACCCGCATGAGAGGCGTCACCATTGCCGGGCGTCAAGCCGTTTTGCTGCCACCGCTGGCCCGACGGTTGCCCGCCTGGAAGAGTCTGCCCGGCATCGAAATCGGGAAATTTTTCCGTCTCTCCCTGCCCTGGCCCGCCGTGTGATTCCCCAAAAGACTTGTTTGTGGACGATCGAGTTTGGGACGCAGCCCGCATGTGGGAACCGGTCGAGTGCGACGTGGAGTGCGGCATTGCGCGCAGAGGCGCTTCTTCGAGGTTGAAATAGCCCGAGGAATTCGCTGAGGGATTCGAAAAACAAGCGCAAAGCGGCGACTGGAAATAATAACGAATGGAAATGCTAACGCGCGGACTCCAGACTACGTGATCATGGCCACGTCCTCGTGTGCGTTTGTTGTTCAACACGAGGTCAAGGAAACAAAATCGCGGCAATTGGCGGTTGCACAGGTGTCGGTCGCTTGCAACTTGGAGGGGCGCGCAATCTGGTTTGGCATCTGCCAAATAAGCTCTCTTGGCGTCTCCAATCAGTGGAAAGAGAGGGTCCAGGGGGGTGAAGTTGTCGCAATACGCACAGCCACAGTGGCACAACGGCGGAGAGGCTCCAGCAGCTGCAGCGCCAAGAGACTGCTAACCAGCCACACTTTGATCCGAGGCGACGTCAAACTTTTGGCGGCGCGCAATCGTGCGTGATAAGCCAGCAGTTAGACCGCGTGCAGCTCCACCAAATAGTGCATCTTCAACGACAGCTCAACAACTGCCCCCAATAAGCCCGATTCGAACAAACGCCATCTTGGATGCTCTAAACCCTAAAAACTGCATCAACATCCTGAGCGGCCGGCTCACAGCAGGCAAGATGGCGGCGCCAAAGATGACCAAGAACCAAATGCGCCGGGCGAAGAAGAAGGAGCAGAGGAAGGCCCAAGCCGACGGTGAAGTGAGTGATTCCCTTCAGTTTTTGTTGCTTCATTCTGCTAACTATCGTAGCCAAATGGTTCCAAGGAACCTGAGATCAAGGAGGAGCCGACGAAAGACGAGACGCCCGTGGATGGCGACAGCAGACCAACTGACCTCGAGGTCAAGAAGGACCCCGACGCGTCCGCCAAGATCGATGCCGACGGCCCAGTCGACGACCCCCTTCTAGCCGAGGACGATCCCGCGTTTGCCGCATACAAGACTGTTTTTGAAAGATTTGGCTTGAGCTTGGACGATGAGGAGGTCTCGAGGGAAGCCAACGCGGGGAACAAGGGCGAGGTCTTCTTCGACCAGGACGACGAGATCCCTAGCGAGGATGAAGATGCGCAGCAGAAAATGTCCAAAAAGAAACGGAAAAAGCTGAACAAGCTGTCCATCGCCGAACTCAAGGCGTTGGTGCGGAATCCCGAGGTTGTCGAGTGGCACGATGTCTCGTCATCCGATCCTCGCCTCCTCGTCCAGATCAAGGCGCAGCGCAACATTGTCCCCGTACCAGGGCACTGGTCCTTAAAACGCGAATACCTCTCCAGTAAACGGGGTGTCGAGAAGCCGCCCTTCAAGCTGCCCAAGTTCATCGCTGAGACCGGTATCACCGAGATGCGCGATGCCGTCCTCGAGAAGCAGGCGGAGCAGACACTCAAGCAGAAACAGCGCGAGAGGGTACAGCCGAAAATGGGCAAGCTCGATATCGACTACCAGAAGCTCTACGACGCCTTCTTCCGCCATCAAACAAAGCCGGACCTGACACGGTTTGGTGATGTCTACTACGAAGGCAAGGAGTGGGAGGCAGACTACAAGGTGTTCAAGCCCGGCGACCTCAGCGAGGCATTAAGGGAAGCGCTCGGTATGCAGCCGGGTTTCCCCCCTCCGTGGTTGCTTCAACAACAACGCGTTGGCCCACCGCCCTCCTACCCAACCTTCAAAATCCCCGGCCTCAACGCCCCTGTCCCACCCGGAGCAGCATGGGGTTTCCAACCCGGTCAATGGGGTAAACCCCCACTAGACGAATACAACCGTCCTCTCTATGGTGGCGACATCTTCGGTATCATGGCCCCCGGCCAACCCGGCGCCGCGGCGCCCTACCAACAACAGCCGCAACAACCCCAAGCCGCAGCTGCCACCTCCCTCGCCGAGCCCGTCGAGCGCAGCCTCTGGGGCGAACTCCAACCCCCGGCCGAAGAGTCCGAGGAAGAAGAATCCGAAGTAGAGGAGTCGGACGAGGAAGGCTCAGAAGCGGGCGACCTCCCACCGGGCGGCACCGACACGACCACCGGCCTCGAGACCCCCGGCGGGTACGCCAGCACCGTCCACGCCGACATGCACGCGGCCCCCGCGGGCGTCGAAACTAGCATGGCAGGCGAGTTCGACCTCCGCAAAACCCGGCGCGGCTTCGAGACGGAAGAATCCTCCTACGGCGGGCCACGGCAAGCCTACACGGTCATCCCCGAACGGCAGGGACGCGCGGAAGGCTTCTTCGGCAGCGACAAGACGTACGACCTATCCAAGGGCGGCGCGGCGGGCGCTCCCCTCCCCGTACTCGGCAGCGGGCACGACAGCGACGACGGCGCGCGCAAGCGCAAGAAGCCCGGCGACGTGGACGTGGCGCTCGACCCGGACGCGCTCGCGGCGTCGGGCGGGCTGGACAAGGAGCAGCTGCGGCGCCAGTTCGAGGCCGGCCGCCGCGAGGAGGGCGTCGGCGCCCAGTGGAGCCGCTCCGCGGCTTACGAGGAGGACCTGAGCGATATGATCGCCCAGGAGAGCCGGAAGCGGCAGCGGAGGGAGGAGGAGCGCCGGGGGGAGCGGGAGAAGGGGAGGAGGTAGATGGGCTTGTTGTCGTGTTGGAATGGTCGAGGTTGAAAGATATCTCTGGCTCGGTGGCATTACTTGGGCGTTTTGGGTGCTGCTTGCTTGCTACTGAGGTTTAGGTAGGGCGTGGAGTGTATAATATGGCTCGTAGTAGTAGTTTGGTTATGCGCGAGTGGGAAAGGAAAATGCCAAACGTAAATACAGGAGCCGCCATCCAGGTATCCTGGGTTTTCACAATTGTATCGGTACCGAGGTCACCCGGTAACCATTTAACCAACCTTGTAGCTAGTGTAGTACCGCCTGGACGATTGACACTTCGAGCCGTCTCCGAAAAAGCCAGGTATCACCGCAGATACGCATGGGCGACATTAGAAACGCAACCAGAGAGCACTTGTATGTCATTTGCTCCCTCTCCAACCTCGACATTGGGTCGGGCAGTTGTTTCGGCGATACATCTTCTCAAACAGCACCGCCTACCATGATCACACACGCCAGCAAGGCACACACACCCCCTTGCTTGATCCCGTTATATGACGAACGCATTTGAAATCTCTTTCCACGTCTGATTAGTCCCTTACAATACACGGCCCCGTATGCCCAGCCCACTTGCTCCTCACCACGGTAGCTTACATTCCCGCCCTTTGCTCTACGAGCAAGCCTTGCACCTCCAATGCCTCCCCTTCGCCACCGCCTCCTCCGTGTCTTCCACGCACGCATCGTGATAAAGCCGATTGTCGCATTCCTTGAGATTGTACAATTAGCATCATCGGTGATACACACTCCGTTGGTAAAGAAGGAAAGGCGAAGAAACGTACCTTGTTCGCACAAACCAACATGGTCGCCGGGGGCACGGGCCCGCCACACGCGGTACAGCAGCCGCCCGAAGCCTTGTTCCTAACAGGCTGCAAGGTAGACGCCGGCTCGTCGGCCAGTTCCTCGCCCGCGGCGCGGCGGCTCCGCGCGTCTTCCAGGAGCCGGGTGGCCTGGAAGACGGCTTCGTCCGGCAGGACGCCGCGGGCGAGTAGCGTGGCAACGTGTCTGCTAAACTCGTCCGTCCTCGATCGCTTCGCCGAGAGCCAGGCGGCGTTCTCGCGCACGAACCGCACGAAGTTGCGGGGTAGATACTGCGGCGAGGAGATGTGCTGGCGCAGGATGAAGGCATCCCATACCTGGAGATACTCCTTTTCGTCCGCGTTGAGATCGATGAAATCTTGTAGGTTGTCGCGGTGCTTGAGCAGGAGCCACGAGTCGTCAATTTGGTACTGTGGGACCGGCGTGCCGGGTTGGAGCCGGACTTTGCTGAGCGGGTCGAAGAGGGGCTGTTTAGACTTGGGGACGAGAACCTTCCGACGGGTCCGCTTGGTGGTGAGTTTCTGGAAAGCGTCAGTCGTCCATCAAAGGTTGATGGGAACCAAGTTCTGGAATGGCCTCTTACGGTACGTCCCCCTTGCGGAGCAGTATCTTCGAAGATTTCACGGCCATCGTCTGGGCCGAGACGGGAGGTGACCCATGAGTCGTCTCCGTTGACGTACTTATCCAGATCGAGGGGCTTGACGGGTAGTCCGAGCTGGTACACCTTCGGTCGCAAGGGTGAGCCGCGGCCATCGGCATTCGGTTTCACGGTAACACAGTACCCCGCCTTGGGCTTGATTTCAAAGTGGAAATCATACTGCGGGTGACTCAGGTAGTGAGCACGCAGCTGGCAGAGACGGTCGTTCTCCGCACCACACAGCAGACAGGCAAACTTGTCCGTTTGTACCTGTTCCGGCGGGAGCAGGTATGTGATTGTGTGCTCGTCAAGCTGGCTGTGATCCTCTCCAAGCTTCCGTCGCTTCCTGGTCTCCTTTCCTACTGCGTTGTTCCACATCTGCTTGACATTGTAGTTGATGTCTAGCCTTGTTCGCCGAGAGCGACCGGGAGTGAGCTCGCCCTCGGCCAGCTCTTCGGCAGGATCGGCTACGGACCCGTTCACTTGCCCATTTGATGCATGCTCCCCCTCGCCATTGACCTGAGAGTCATGACGATGCGTGTTCGTGCCGTTCACGGCGGTAGGGGGATTAGTATTGCCGTTAACAAGAGGCGCGGCGGGCTCGTGAGGATCATACACCAAGATGGAAGGCTGGATATCCTTAGTATGTTCTCGCGGTCTCCGCTGGCTCGATATGGGCGTCAACCAGCGAACATCCATGTCCATGAGAAAGTTGGTGGCAACGTCATGAACGGGCTGCTTCTTTACCCGCAGGCGGACCGACTTGCGGTTGCGGCTGCTAAAGAGGTCGGCGATGTTGGCGGTGAGCACCCACTGGCGGGACGGGAGCCCCCTGTTGTAGAATGTGTCCTCATCGCTAATTGGGACGAGATCGGTCGGCGGCCAGTTGGAGTCGCCGGCAGACTCGAGTTCAACGAGGACTGAGTAAGTGTTGGCGAGACCGAAGACGGCATCGTCGTCGCGTTCAAGAAAAATCTTCTCTTCCGGGACGTGAAAGGGTCGGATGGAGGAAAACCGGGCCATGGGAGACGAGCCAGCGGGGTTTTTGAAGAGGCGGATATCGCAAACCTGGCTGTCGACGTGCAAAACCACCGCTTCGCCGCCCTTGTAGCCACTAATAGTGAGTTTGCAGCGGGCCTTGACCTGTACGACATCCCTAACGTTGGGGGCGATGACCCCATTAAAGATACCGTTCTTCACCCGCGGCGAGTCCTTGTGGCTGATCTTGAGGACCTCAATGCGGAGGGCGCGCTGGGCGGTGCCATAGTTCTCAAATAGCGGGAAGCCATCATAATCATCATCGAGACGGCGGCGTTTTGCCGCACGCCGGACTTGGTGGTCGACATCAGCGAGCTTGTCGCCGGCGTCGCGTGTCTGGGAAGAAGACTTGTTGCCCATCTTGGCGTCCCAGTGGTTGGTAGCCTTGAGCCAATTCCGATGCAGGAAGGGCAGGCCACGGTTGTGATGGCTTGGGGTCGACATGGCGTAAAGATGTCAGCCGGACCATGTCATGAGCACGTGGACGGATGGCAATGACTCTCTTTAGTCTGAGCCCTTCGAGCCTGGTGAAACGCGTGAAGGGGTCAACGAGGTCTGCAAAGTGGGATAAGCCGCATTGTCTGGTGAGAAGCGCAAAAGCGGTACAGTAGGTGCCGTAGTGTCGCGGTTCAGGTTGAAATAATCCCTCGGTGGAATGAAGTTGGGAATGACGGCGAAGTGCGCAGATATAAGGGTAGGGTAGCAAAAAAAAAAAAAAAAGAAGAAGAAGAAGAAAAAGTAAAATAATCGCGAGATTGTAGAAGGTGTGTAATAGGTCGAGGAAAGTGCGGCCGAGATAGGCAACAATAGAAACCGATGAGGAACTATCAGCCAGTTATGAACGGTTGTGATCTCTTGAGAGTGTGAGATGTGATGTGGATTGATTGACAAGGAAGTTGACCACCCGCTTGGGAGGACTGGCGCGCACTGCCGAGGCTGATGGGCGATGGTTGAAATCAACAGAGTGCAGCCACCAAGTAAGTGCATCAAACACAAGTTGTGGCGTTTACATTCAGAGTGCCATCGACACGAAAAAGGGGGCACGGCAGTGGAGTAAGCAATGAAGGGGTGCCGATGGCCGATGGGGGAAGACGCGTACCGTAGCCGAAAAGGCGAGCGAGATTCTCTCCTATCGCGATTTCAGGTTTGCTGTTGATTCGTGCCACTTCGGCGGCCCCGGTCGTCGTGGGGCGTCGGCTCCGTCCTCCGACCCTGTACGGTTAGCGGCGATCGCGGTAGCACAATACCAAATGTAGCATATGAATTGTGTGGACAAGAAGGTATCTCGCTAACGGACCCTTGTCACAGAGCTGATGGACCAGGGGTATGAAGCTGAATTGGACTCGGGCTTCGGTTGAAGCGCAAGCAACTGGCGAAGAAAAGAGTCCAAAATTATTGAATGGAAAAGGTTAGAATGCAGCTAAGATGATATGTGGGGGGCACTGGCCCACATGCATCTATCTGCCTGGACCAAAAGGTATTCTTCATCAGTGTTCGAACCACAAGAAAAGGACTCAATTCCCTCGAACATCATGATGACGAGAAGCAACCTTCGTTGCAGAAATTCCAAACCTGTAAGATCAAAGTTGTCAAAGCTGGAACAGAGGCATCCGTTGAATAGGGTGTATGCACCTACAAGGCACTAGACTCTCTAGCTCGCATGCCATCATCCCAAATCGTCCCGAAACATGGAGAAACGGCCAATTCTAGAGCATCGTCAATTAGATTGCCCAAGGCTAGCCCCAAAACGGCCTCTCAGTTTCCCATCATACCTACCCAGAGTTCATTCGTCTGTTGTCCACCGCTTTTGTCACGTCATTTCTTCCATGGCTAAGAGGGTGGATCAATGACCGATTCGTCGTGATTAATGGTGAATCGGACGGAAGGCAGCTGTTCCTGTTCTGTAGACAATCAAACAGATTTGATTAACGTTGTTGGGCCAGCTATACAATAACTTAACCTGAACCAGGAGGTTTCAAGGCTGTTTATTGTGACATGTGTATTTTCTTTGATGTCCAACCCGCAATCCGGCTGCTAGAACTGAGCAAGAGATACTATTAGTTCCGAACTTCCGACGTCCCTAACGAGGTCAAAGCTACGTAGGTAGGTAGTCTTGAGTCGGGTTAGGATTTGTACATCCGGTACTCTCCATCAACAGCCGCGGAATACTGACGAGGTAGGATGTTGTTTGTCAATTAGGGACATGTATGATGTAACTGAGCCGTCTGAAGAAAGAGGTCCTCCATCATCTCAAAAATGCAACCAACCGTTCTAGTGCCCAGTGTCAAAAACTCCATCGGCATAAATGAAGCTCCACCTAATCAGCTGTTCAAAATAGCCCAACTCACTGCTATATTGATTAGAATGTGTACTTTCAGACTGGATCACAGAAGGCTGGAAGCGGGATAGTTCCATCGCGCGTGATAAACGTTGGGCGTGAGCATCGTGGTATCAGCGTGGGTTAACTGGGCAAGTGGCAGACGTTGCTCTATTCCACAGATTATCATCAGTGAGCGCAACCTAACCTTGTCTGTCTTTCTCTCTGGCTTCCCTCGGCCCGGCAATGTAACAGATTCTCGGCTGTCCAGATGCTTGCAACATCAGGTAGGTAGGTGATCTGAGTGGCTGTGATGATACAGACTGGTGTAACGGGGCACTCCCTGAGATTAACGTTCTGAATTTTATCTGTTGGTTTTGTAACGGCTTGAAGGCGACGATGGGCAGGTAAGGTACCTGGGTTGCCGTGGCCGGAATAGGGAGAACATAAACCGTGTAAAATGGACACAGATATCACCAGAGGGAGAACCAAGTCGTTAGGGACGATGTCAATTTTGTACTTAGAGACCTCGGTGAAGCTTTTCCCAAGGTCGAGGTAGCAAGTCGTAGATAAATACATCAGCTAAAGCAACGCCCAAAATGTCGAATGCCTCATCAAGCAGACGTGATAAACAAAACCACCCCTAGTTCCAACTTTACCCTACTCCATGATCATTCCCCAGGCCCAGCCCTTGTCATGGGCAAGAAATACAAGCAAGTCGAAGCAAAGCAACCCAACGCCACCAGTACAAGTTTGAGTGCCAGCATTCAACCTGACACCATGCTAATGCACCACCCATGAAAAAATATACAACGAATATACGGGAGAAGGAAACATCAAAAATACAACTCCTTCTACCAAGCATACCCGGTATCCTCGTCATCATCCTGGCCGACCCAATCGTCATCCGACAGATCATTGTTCTCACTATCTAGGAAATCGTCCATGGTGAGTGTTGTCTCAACCGACTTCTGGTTATCTAGTTGAATCTCAACTTTCTCACACATACCCTGGCGGAAGGGTACTTCGTTCCCGGCCGACGATGCCGGGGATTCGGGTTGACTGCTCGAGACGGACTCATCCACACCCTGACCCCCCTCTGCTTCATCGCCCTCCTCCTCGTCTTCGTCCTCATCCGTATCGGGCTCAGCATACGACGGCCGGCCAAGCCCGTTTCGAAGACTACGGGCAGCACCAATACTGCTGGAGGGGGACGGAGAGTTCGATCGTTTGAGCCGGTCGCTCCGGCGCGAGGGATATCCAGCGGGTAAGGCGCGAGTAGACTTGCTTGGCTTTTTTGAGGCGCGTTTGACCTCCTGCCTGTCGGGTGGCTGTGCTGGATTTCGCAAGGAGAACAAAGGTACAGGGTCCTGGTTCTCACGCAGGAAAATGTATCGTAGCTTGCGCTCCCACTTGTTACGAAGCCTTGAGCGTTCCAGGATAGGGATGCTCAACATAGCTTTCAGTTCCAAGTGGCGGAGCTTCAACAGTTTCGAGGAACTGTCGGCAAGTGACTGGAACAACGTCTCGGCTGCATCTGCAGACCACTTTTTCATGTTCAAGAGTTGGAGCGCCTCCAATGCCTCGGGCCACTCCGGAACCTGGTCTGTGGTGAGCAATTGATCGTAACTCGGGTCCGAATCGCGGTAGAACTCATGATGTTGGAAAGTTTTGAAGTCCATGGAGAGGACCTGCAAATTTGGACAAGCTGCTCCTAGAACTGGGAGGAAAGAGAGACCCAACGACTGGTTATGGTGCAGAATGAGGCGCTTCAGTTGGTGTCCGTTCGTTAGGAGATAAGCTGTGAAATCGTCGCCATCAACGTCCCAGCAATTGATAAGCCCCAGAGTCTCGAGCTCTTTGGGAAGAAGGCGCAATAACTGGTCGTTGGCCGCAGTAGATGACTCGATAGTGAGGTGTTTAAGATTTGGCAGAGCGGTGATTGCGTCAGCCATGCTTTGAATGAAGGCTCCATCCCTGGCGACCAGCTCATCGTTGTCATCCAGTTGCTTTCGCGTGAAGCGAAGGAACCATGGTAATTGACAAACGATATTTTTAGTAGACTCGAAAAAGGCCGGTGTTTCGTGAAGCGCCTTGACGGCGGCGAGGTCAAGACCCGGCCCCCATCAGCCGCCGATTCCCACTGCCATCCAATAAGCCGCGTAGGGCTGGTCATCTGGCGCTCCCTCTGCTGGGACTTGCGATCCGTTGAGAGCCTCAAAAAAGGGCGGGAAGGGTAGTGCCCAACGTAAGCTACCATTCCTAGCGACCTGGTAAGGGGCGTCGTCTTTCTGGTGAAAGAACCCGAATCTGCTTCAAACGAGGTTAGTTTGTTGACCAGGGACTTGAGGTCGAGCAGTTGGCCCCTGAACGTCTTCGAGGCAATCTGCTCGACATCAATCCCAAAGTTCTTCCACTTTCGGTCTGTAGTTGAATATTGTGGTGGATGGGTCTTTCGACAATAGCGACACGAGCCCATGTGCCATCGGCCGGCTCAGCAACGGAGGTGCCTGGTAGAGGGCTGTCAGGGCCGGCTCTGCAAATGCACGGCAGACGCCGCTGGTTGCCGTCAGCCATCGGGCGTGACGGGCTTCGGTGAGCGGCGCGGCGGCATATACGAAAATTTGGGTCAAGATCATGTAAGGCAAGCTGGCCCAGTCCGGGATAATGTCATCCTCAATCACACCTTTGCCTTTCTCGGGCGCAGGATAATTGATAGGAACGGCTTGGCATTGGTTCTTTGTTGTCCGAGCTGAGGTTGTCCATTTTACGGGCCTGAAGACCTGGGAAGCTTGACGCCGTTGACGGGTGCTCGCTTTCTGCTCCACATCCGGATTAGGAGGGTTCTCAACTTCGTCCCCGCTATCGCTATCGCTATCTTCTCCATAAAACCCCGGTTTGTGAGGGGAGTGGCGGGTCCGTTTTGGTCGGCTTGCTATCGCGGCCGGCGATCCGGGGCGCTTGTGCGACTTTGTTGGGGTACTGGGCGGTGGAGGTTGTGGCACCGCGGGATTCTCGTTGGTTGAAGCCGTGCTAGGAAGCGCAGCCGAGCTCCTTGTCACTCGGCCACCCGCCGGGGGTTCCGGAGCGCCGGACGCTTGGCGCGGCCGTAAATTGCGAGTTGTCGCTGCCGATGCAGCGGGTACGGAACCCGCCGCATTGCCAGCGGGTTTCTTCATGATCGATTTGATGGATGGGATTGTCGCGGTATCGGAAATTACAGCTGCGCTTCCCAAAGCTTCACCCCACAAGTTCCGAGCACGAGGCAAATTGATAGAGCGGTGGACAGACAGTTCAAAATGGGTTGATGAGAGATGGATTTGATGGAATGGTGGCTCGTCCGCCGGTTGACCAATTGCTTGTTTTTTGGTTGCTTCTGGCGCGGGGCGCTCCAAGCACATGCAGCTGAAGAAACTGAGCTTCAGGTCCGTGGCAAAGGCTGCGGGGCTTTACAGTAAGGTAACTGCCAACGCACGGCCCATTCGCACAGTATTCGCAGGTGCTTGGGCAGAGGACAACGACATCAAGCAGCTAAACGTGAATTCATTTTTGGCATCGCTCCGGAGATGGCGTCGATGGCGTCGATGGGACGTTGGTAGAACTCTGCAGACTAAGGACGAAAGATGCCCGGGCCGGCACCTTGAGGTTTTCAACGGGCCATCTGGACGCACCTTGAAAGCCACAATGGAGCTCCTTACACGAACTTTAAGGTTGGCCACCTTGATTACTTAGAATAGGGTAGCCCCATCTCAAATCCCATTTCTTGTCGCATTCTGAAGTGTCCATGTGAATAGAAAGCTACCTAAGAGCGTAAACGAGGCTTCCTGAGATCGGACTGCCCAGCATCAACTCTAGAGTTTTCTATCTCTCGTTCAAGCTTCTGGCCATTGCCATAGATTTGTTGAAGTCCTCCGACCGATCTACTTAACGCCAATCAAAATGGCCATCTGAAGGATGCTACCCCGGCCTAGTACGTGTAACTTGTGACTCTGATGCAGCCTTCACCCCCCAGCGTCTCTACTCCGTACATCTATTTCCCAGCCTTATCGTCACTGTCACCCTTTTTCTTAGCGGTTTCCCTCAACGTCTGGCCTTGACCAGCAAAGTGAGGCTGCTTTGCGTTCGCAGCCTCCCTCTCCTTATCCTCAGCCGTCTTGACCGGCTTGACTTCGTACCCTAGGAAGAGTTTGCCAGGGGGAAGACGCAGGGGCGCCGGCCCGTTGCTACGCCGTATGGGTACCGTGGCTTCCTTGGTTGAGCTTGACGTGCCAGCCACGGGGGTTGCGGGCTTCGGCGCTGGAGCCTTGCCACCCTTCTTGGAGCTCAACCGCTGCCCCTCTCCCGTAAAGTTCCCTGCCAAAGATGCCGCTGAACCTGGCGCGATCGAGTCATAATTGATTGCTTGTGCCATGGTACCTTGGCTGTAGAGTAGGCCCCCGGGAGGCACACCGCCACCTGCACCTCTTGCACTGCGGGGCGTGCTGGTGCCGCTGCCGCGTGGCGCTCTCTCTGGCTCGACGTAGCCGACTGGCGGTGCAAAGTCGACGCTTACATCCGTCTCGATCATGCTGACGCCCATCCTAGCAGTTTCGGGCTTTACATCTAGAACGGCCATGTCGTAGACCTCGTCGTTGTATTCGAAGTTGAAGACGTCGCCTTTGGTTAGAGCGGCGAAGTTGCGGAAGGCTTTTTCGAGGACGGCACGAGGATCGGTAATTTCGAGAAAGTTAACGGACTGTGGCTGTAGCTTGACTAGCTTGGCAAGCTCGAGGGAGGTGGTCTTGACCTGGATCATGTCGCCCACATCAAGCTGGAGCGACTGCATCATCTGCGAACCGTTAATACGCCTGGCCGGAGCCAGAAGGGAACATCCGACATACCCATTGCGGGATGTAAGCTCTGCCCTCCTCTGCTACGAACTCGAGCACACCTGCATGTGTGTGTTTGCCCCCCGCCGCTCCGTTAATCAGTTCTAGCATGATAGGCCATTGAACGTGCATTCTTGATACCTTGTCCAAGGCGGATGGTGGGAGAAAGATTTTGGATCCGTAGTTGAGGTCGGGGCGCTCAGCGCCGGGGGCCATGATCAAAGGGTAACACCGGTAGTATTCATCGAAACGTTGCGCGCGAGGAGCCCGAAGGTTCCCACGATAGTCGGTAGGGTTAAACTGCGCTCGTGGGTTAAACAATGCGATCTTGCCCGAGGTGCGAATCGCCAAACGCGGGGTTCAACTCACCATGTTTTCGAATCACGGGCCAGGTGTGGTACGAGTGTTATTCGGGGTTGAAAATAGAAGAAGAAAGGTTAGATATCAATAAGGTAATGTTTTATTCCTCGAATTCTGTGCTTGATCGGAACTGTGTGGTTTGTTTTGTTAAGGTGCGGAAGGCAACAGAGGATGGCATAGGCGAAGCATGCTGCCAAGCGCCTCTGCAATGCACTGTGCGGGGTTATTCTAGCGTACAGTGTTCTCGGATGTGGCGCGAGCTTGGCTGGGGCAGGTACCCGTGAGCATGGAATGCACCCACTGTACCAAACTTAGGTACCTATCCTATACCGCACTAATCTGGAAGCCCGACAGCAAGATTTGCAGGCGGTTGGTATAAATTTAATAGTTGAAATACTGTGTTTTATTTTGACGTTGATTTATTCGTATCAGCCTCGATCTGCCGGTCCGTATGTTTTTTTTGTTGAGGGGGGTACCGAGGCTGAGGTCAATCCCTCCAGCCACAGCCTCTCCTCGAGCACGTCCAAGCTCCTTGGTCACACCCTGGCATATTTAAAGTGCTCGCCTTGCCTCCATTGTCGCCCCGGGCAAATATCGCCCCAAGGGCTCATCACGGCGTCATGTCATCCAGATTCTCGGCTGCGCGCCCAAAACGGGCCGGGGAGGCTTTCGCACGAGCTCATCACGGAGAAGAGCGCGACGAGCGCGACGAGGGAGGCCCCACATCCAAAAAGGTCAAATTCGATGTCCGCAACCCATCTGCGCTGGCACCGAGCGCACGAGACGACGAAGACGAAAATGACAATGTCCTTGACGCAGACGTCATTGCCGCTTCCGGAAGGGCGACAAAGCGCGGTGCGGTGAATATCGACGGTTACGACTCGGATTCCGAGAATGAGACATTCAATACCAGGGCCGAGGCCAGGGGCAAAAAGGGGAAGGAGGCTGAGGATGTAGACTTGGCGGAGGTGATGGACAATTACAATTCCAAAGCTGGTGCCGGCGGTGGCGATGAGGAGGATGATGAAGTGGACATGTTTGGCGATGCCGACGCCGACGACAACCTTGCGACGGGCGGCGGCAAATCGGGAAAGAAGGACAAGCAAGTCCGCTTTCTCGCAGACAAGGAGATCGAGGGCCAAGAAACGACCAGCAAGAGTGGCGGCACTGTACGGATAGACGGAAATCCGGATAATGACGAGGAAGACGACGACGACGATGATGACGAAGAGGTTGTCGCGCTCGCCATCGCCGAAGAAGGCGTGGACGAAGAGGTCGGCCTTGGCGGCCTCAAGAAACACGCGCCCAAGATCGACGCCTTCAACATGCGGGAGGAGCAGGAAGACGGTGCGTTCGACGAGGCAGGTAACTTCGTCCGGAAGGCGGCCGACGCAGACGCAGTGCACGACCGTTGGCTGGAGGGTATCAGCAAAAAAGAGATGAAGAAGGCCGCCGCAGCCCACGATAAGCGCGAAGCTGAACTGCGGAAGCAGCAGCGCGAGAACGACAGCTTGTTGACGGGCGACTTGTTCAAAGAGCTCATCATCCGGCTAGAACCGGGCGAAACGGCTTTGGATGCTCTGGCGAGGCTTAGGAAGAGCCAGACAAATAAGAACAAGTCCAAGAAAATACCCAAATGGAAACAGAAGAAGGCGAAGGCAAAGAACAACGGCGGTGAGGGAGGGGACGCCATGGATGTGGATTCTGAAAAGGGACCCGAAGATCCGAAGCAGGCCAAGATCAAGGACGCAATCAATGCTATTGCCGACGCAGCAGACAAGTTGATGCAGAGAGACTACCCCAATATTTATGATAGGGAACGGGAGCGACTCATAAGAGAGTATCGCAATGAGACTGGGGAAGCTTGGGTGGAGCCACCGGAACCAGACGAGACCGAAGGTGGCGGGGGAATAGGGGAGGATAAGCTGTGGGAGTTCCGCTGGACAGACGGGCGGGACGACGCTGCTAAACAAGGCCCCTTTGACGGTCCAACTATGAAGGCATGGCAAGATGCTGGCTATTTTGGCGAGGGCGTCGAGTTTCGGTTAGCAGGAGGGGAGGGCGGATGGACGAGGGTTGCTACGTTTGTGTAATACATCAATGAGGAGGCAGCAGTGTTGAGAAGACAAGCTGGTGCAGGCTCGCCGGCTGTAAATCTCTTTCCGCACCACTCCAAATCATTACACCACATGATATCAAAGTCCGCCAGACCCCAATGAACCAAACAGTTTTGTCCCCTTCCTAAAACGCCTGCAAATCGAATATTGCCCTTCCCCGAATTTAGCTCGTATCCATCGTCTCGCCCGCAGTACCGTTGGACTTTACGACAAAGTCAACGACGCCGTCATCGCCTATCAGCCGCTTTTCTGATTCGGCTACAAACCCGACGCTCCTGGCAGGGTCGTAGAACAATTTAAAACTCCGTTGTACATCCTCTACGACGACTTGCTTCGCGCGCCTCTTCGCGCAGATGAGCTGAGACGTGGTAATTAGGTTGCTTGCGTAGCGGAGCCCTGCCTCTTGACCAATTTTGGTAAGCAGAGCAAGAGCGTCAGGGGTGAGGTCAACCTCCTCCTCCTGCGCGCGGATGGAGAGAATCTGACGAAGCTCGTCGCCAGTGTAAGAGTGAGTGTTGATAATCGCAACGCGGTCGAGGAAATCGAGGGGTAGGCCGTGCGGGCTCTTATAATCGGTGCCCCGAATACGGGAGTGGCCTCGGTTGCTGGCCATGATGACGATTGGGGCCAAGTCCGACTCGAGGGCTCGGTTGACGTAAGAGAAGCACTCAATATCGAGCATGTGGACCTCGTCAATGAAGAGGACACCCGGAACAATTTCTGCCTTGCCTTCCTCCTTCCACTCGGCGACCTTGGTGTTGATTTGGTCCCGAATCTCGCTCCGGATTTCCCCCGTGTCGCCCGAGAACAGAGCCAAGAAGCCTTGTGTGCGCGAGTTGATGACATCGATCTCGTGCAGCGAAACCGTGTGTACGACTTCTTTGCGCTTTTGCAGCTCGCCGTCGGGGCATTGCAGGAACTTGGTATCGACACCCATCGCATCGTAGTCGCGGGACCGGGCATAGGACCTGCCAAGTTTGGTGATTTTCCCCGATGATTTGTCGATAGAGATAATGTCGCCCGCCATCACACGCTCCTTGGTCATGGCATCAATCATCTTGCTTCCCATGTCGTATATGGCCTCCATATCGGTCGTCTTGATGGTGAGCTTGCCTTGCTTGGCGCCGCCCGTCACGCTGCGATCAATTTGAATCTCTACCACCTCACCCTCCATTATCTCGCTCTCCTCCTTAATCCTTACACCGATCGACTTCCGGAAAGCTTGTGTGAGGGCCTCAGTCTTAGACATTTCCAGAGAGAAGATTTCGGATGCGGCGAGCGTGGTGAAGGGCACATCGGGGCCCAGAGATTGAGCCATCCCCATGGCAATCGCTGTCTTTCCGGTACTGTAAGTTTGCCAAACACGGTTAGCGCACGACACGACGAGCTCCAAGTTTCTCGATGGTGGTGCAGCGTACCTGGGAGGGCCAGCAATCAGTACGGCACGACCGGCAATCTTGCCCTGCTTGATCATCTCTAGGATAACCGCAGCCGCTTTTCGGGCCTTCTCCTGCCCAACCAGCCCTTGCGACGCTGTTCGGGGCTCTAGAGTGTCGGCATCGACACCCAGCCCACGAATGTGCGAGTGTGCTGCGATGAGGTTAAGCCCCCGGAGCTCTTTGCTCTCGGAGATCGTGACAACGGGCTGCATCGGGGTATGTCAGTTTCTGCTATGCTTCGATAATGACGTCTTGAGATTATTGGACTCACAGCGGCCATTTTCAATTGCGGTGTCAAAATCAGTCACGTCCAAGGTGATCGTTGATGGACGCGGCTCTATTCTCGCGAGGCTGCCGCGAGATTCTCGAGCAGAGGAACCGGGCCCAAGCTCTGGCCACATCAAAAGACCCTTGTAGCTTCACCACAGCCACGGTGGCGAAATTACTGTGGCGGAAGATGAAACGCCCAGAACGCGACCCAGGGCCGCCAGAACGCGCCTCCCTTTGCAGCTCCATACACAGTATTTGCGGAAATGGAACTGCAGATCGGCGCGCTTCTCTGGGACCGCCCCTCTTTGACATTTTCCAGGTACTTAAACTCAACCTTTGTTTGTAATGGACCTATTTCAACCTTCATCGAGTTCTCCTGGCCCCAATAAGTTTGGTTAGAACGTCTCGAGCTCCTGGCCCTCCACACGATGGAAGGTACTTAAAAACAAACACGCATAGCCTGCCGTCTTCTCCAATCTTCACACCATCCCCTGCAGGGGTATCAACCCAGACGGAAAGCCATTGGCTACAGTGGGGATCCAAAAGTATCCGGCCACCCCGCTTTTTCCCAGCCACCTACATTATATCTTGGAGGCTTTAACAGCAAATATCTCAACATCACCAAATCATGACGCATAACCAATAGATGTTGTTAAGAGCCCTGTTTAAAAACTTTAATATTTTGTATACCACCCCCTCGCTTTTTTAACAGCGGCTAGCCGGCGTGGCATTCCCTCGATCAGCTTGTCGATGAACGACTGTGGGATAGCCTCCCACGCCGTATGCAAGCACTCTTTGAACTTTGCTATATCTACGCAGTTCTGCTTCAGGCACCATAGCTCTGGGAATAACGTTCGTAGGTTTTTCTTCAGAGCTGCCCAAACGTGCTCAATCGGATTCAGATCCGGACTGTGTGCAGGCCATTCGATCCACGAAATCCCCCGCGTCTGGAGCCACTCCTCCGTTGCCTTGCAGACGTGAATCTTTGCGTTATCTTGCTGGAAATGCCGGGTATCGTTGTAATGAGGTAGGAGACCTTCTTGGAGCGCCTTCTGGTAAGATCTCGCAGTGTATCCTCGCCTCGGGGCATCTTCGTCGCGCTCCATCACGATGAGGTCACTTCTCCCCCCTTTCCAGACCATTCCCCAAAGCATGATCGAGATGTTCGCTTTCACATGGTTCTGGAGGTTGACGAAACGCTTATCGAACTTCTCGGACGGAAATCGGAACACCCAGCTAGTCGGATTTGAAGTGTTATTCTGACAGGAACACTCGTCTGAGAACATCGTCTGAAACGATTAGCGGGGTAAGAAATAGGAGGTAAGTTCAACACCACTAACCTGAAGGAACTCGTCGATATTCTCAAGCCAATCGCATGCAAAATTGTACCTATCCTTTGCCACTTCTTTGGTCAAAGGAATCCTCTTCATAGCTCTCCATTTGCGGATGTGGTGTGACCGGAGGCAGCGGCGGATGGTAGAATAGGAGACAACCTTGCCAGTTGCGTTAACAAGCGCTTTTTTCGCAATGGTTCGGTTTTTTTTGACAAGTAAAACGATATACCGTTTCTCCCTTCGAGTTAGAACCGGCGGCCGGCCCTTCCGGGGTCGCGAATCAAACGTTCGGTGAGTTTTCCAGTGCTCAACACAGCGGGCGACGGTATCGCGGGATACGCGAAAGAGGCGAGAAACGGCGCGTTCGCTCTGCCCGGCCGCAACAAGTGTGCAAATGGCTGCACGTGCGCCTGGAGAAAGCTCCTGTAATCTCCCGCGTCCGGCAGTCAATTCAGCAGCAAAATCGGCCAAATTGAGCTTCATCTTGTTGAATTGTCGTGGTTCAAAAGTTAAGGGTAGGAAACCGCGAGACGCGTTTCGCGTTTAATGAAAGCGGGGTGGCCGGATACTTTTGGATCCCCACTGTAGCATATGCGCCTCTTCAGCCCAACCGACCGCCCTTTCCTTATCGATTGCACCGGTAACCAATAACTCCCAACTTAGTGGACGACGAGCCAACACACCCCAACTTCAAAACAGAGCTTGCTTCTTCTTCTTCCATCCTGCCCCTTCAGCTGTTAGACAGTCATTATTGCTCCGAACTTTTCGGTTCTTAAGTTACCGAGATCAAACTCATATTTTAGTACATTTGTGCGCTCTACCTGGTTTCTACCTAAGCCGCTCCTTCCTTTACACAGGCTGCGTGCCACACGAGTTGTGGGGCAATCATCGTTTTCCCGCCCGCAGACCTGGCGCAACACCATCGTTGACCAAAAATTTCTTTAATACGTTGCAAAGATTTGTTTCGTTTCGCAAGGACATCGACTCGCGGAATACCTGCCTCGCTCGCGCGTGCTCACCGCACGGCTCACATAACGATATCTCTCCAGCGCTGGGGCCGCTTCCATTCTGTACACCACGTCTGGTTATTTCTAGCGGTCGGGCGCCTGGCGCGCGGGATACTGCCGCAATAAGCGCGCCACACCGCGGCATTTAGCCCAGCCGTGGAATGCACGGAATTTTCGAGTCAGATTGACGGCTTGTTCCGAATCCAGTCAGACGACAGGACCCGAGTATGTCGCACAGATCATCGGACGCCTACTCCCGGCGTCCTACCATTGAGGGTCGGCGCGGTTCTGAGTCTCGGGACCGCCGCCTAGATCCTTACAAAGATGAGAGGTACCGGCGGGAACCAGGCGCCACTGTGAGAGAGCGGCGCAATCCACTCGAGTCTCCTCGCGGAACATCTTCAATGAATTCGACCACCAAACCCCGAGTCGCCGTGAATTCTTCCCGATCGGAACAGGGGATGAGAACAAGTGGGTCCACCTCTTCCTCCCTCTTCTTTTTGATATATTTCCGCTCTTTTGAATCTTTCCGCAAGCAGAAGGATGTCACTTTGCTAACTCATGACCAGCGTCAACGTCTCGGTCACCCGCAGAGAGCCCTGCTATGGACGGCAGCACCTCATGGGAGAACTTCGCTGGCTTGCTTAAACAACACGACGAGGCTGTTGTTAACGTGGCTAGGCTTAGGGCTGAACGGGATCCGCTCGACAAGGTTTTCAAGCAAAGGCAAGTGGAGTATGAAAAATCAATGATCAAACATGCGGAATTCCCCTCTGTACCGGAGGTACAAAATCTGCATAGGGTCAAGTATGCCGAGCGTGTGCGTTCCCTCGATGCGCAAATACAGAAAGCCCAAGAAGTGGTAGACGGCACGGCCCGGTCCATCGCCCGGGCCATCGCAAACCTCTCTGAGCCTGAGACCAAGGCCACGGCGACCACCCCAACCATCCCTCAGAATCAACTAGAAACATTGAAGAAGCAGCAGGCAGAAATAACTGAGCTCAAAGCGAAGCTTCACAAATTTGAGACTGAGTACTCGCAAGTGCGGGACGATTTCAAGGCCAAGTTTGACAAACATCGTGCGGAGCTGCAGGAGCAAATGATGGAACAGATGAAGGAACAGATGAAAGAACAGTTGCGGGAGCACATGAAAGAGATGGCAAAGGATATGAAGGAAATCAAAAGCATGAAGAGGATGAACGAGGAGTCGGTCGAGGGGGTGAAGGAAGAGGTCCGTGCAGTCCGTGCTGAGCTCGACAAGCAGCAGTCGAAGAGCCGTGAGGCTATCTCAACTGTTGAGGTCTCTGCACTTGTACGGAAGGAAAGCTCAGCTCTACAATCTGATATTGCTGGCCTTCTAAAACGGGTGGGCGAGCTTACCGAGCAGCTCGCTCAGAGTACTCAAGACACCGTCGCTCTCCGCGACGACTTGATGGCCTGTACCCAACGAGTGGACAACGAAGCTCGGAAGATCGGAGAGCATGAGGAGAAGCTTTCGAGTCTTGACACGGAAGCGCTCGATAGCGCGGCCGAGGCGGTATCCATCGGTTTTCCGGACCTGCAAGCGAAGGTGGCAAGCCTTCAAAGCAAGATGGACCACACTGTTTCGCAGCAGGAAGTCGACGCCAGGCAGCAAGAGTTGTTTTCTCAAGTGAAACAATATGTGGTAGGGATGGGCGAAGATTTGGGTCAGTTGGTGGACGAGGCACAGAAGGCTACAACGGGACACGAGGCGCGCATCAAAGCTCTCGAAGCAGCCGCCACCAGCACCTCTAGCCCCGCGCCTGGTACGGGGCATAGTCGGGTGGCGAAAGCCGAGTTCGACACAATTAATTCGGACCTTGCCTCGATCAAATCCGAATTTGACGCGACCAAGGTTACTATCAGCCGACTCACTGAGGACGTCTCAAAAATCGCTAGCGAAGATCTTATCAAGCAGGTCGATATGCTTCGGCAATCGTTCCTGGTGTTGGACGCCCAATTCAACAACTTATCCACCAAGTCGCTGGCCGAGCACATCATCGGACGTCTCGAGCACTTCTACCCAAATGCCCGTCAGCTCAATGCCGACATCGAGTTTTTGAAAACTTTGGTCGGTACCCTCGGCCCTCGCATCGATGAGCTCGAAGGGCGGATAGAGGATTTCAAAGACAAGGCTGGCAGCTTTTCTGAGGCCAAGCCATTCGACGCGTCTGAAGTAGAGAACATGCAGCAGTTGCTGCTGCAGGATCTTGACGAGAGCGGTCGGCCGACTCTGAAGCGGAGGAGGATAGATTCAAGCCTCAATGGTGTCGAACACCTGGTGCCATTGACGAACGGGACTGGCTAGGAGCATGGCCGGACGTGGTTGCTTGCCGGACACCCGAGAGCACTCTGAACTTGGGTCCGTAACTGGCATCGGGATGGTTCAATGTCAATGTCCTCAGTGTTGCTTGTAGAATTGTTTGTTTGGTAGATTTGGCATCCCGTCTTCTGTACACTTTTCAACTACACTTAGTTTAATGGGGAGGAGTTAGGTAATTCAGCTTTGTTTGGGCTACGAAAGATTTTCCGGGTTGGAGTTTTTGTAAAAGTTCTACATTGTGTTGTTTTCGAGGTTCGAGTTGACTAGCTAGTAAAAGTTCCACATTGTTTTCGCAAGGTTATCCTAAGTTATGTACTTGATAGTAAATTTACACCATCAAGAAGGGTTGGTGTTCTCACGCACGTGGTGCCTGGGCTGGCGGCTCGGGTGTGATAAACCGTGGGGGTCAGTAGCACCGAGTTCCCTAGCGGGCATGAACTCGGGTACCAGAGGCGCAAGATTTCCCATCTTAGAACTCGAAGTCTCCTATCGGATTTACCGCGCCGTTATCAGGCAGCCCGCTTTTGCATAATCGATACCCTCAATTTGTCGAGTCCAAGAGCCCGCGTGGCGTCTGCGCTTCTGCTTCCATTGTTAGGAGGGGCAATACCCATTCCACGAATGTAATACCGGCTCCAGGTTCAATGGTAAGGCTGCAGGTTCCCGCCATTGTAGTTAGCATAAGGAAGACAATGGAGGGTTTTTTGGTGGGTCTTCCATATAGCACTGAACTCAGGCGCGAGGGGCAGAGCCTCGCAGGTTTTGATCAGGCGGAAATAAAAAGAAACAAAGCTTTGTGTTACAGACAGCAATGCTAGATTCCGCAACCCGACCATGCCAGCAAGCGGATGTGGAACGGCCGAGCTGCCAGTTGTCGTTGAGCCAAGGAAATCTTGAACAGTACATACATACACAGTACAGCCCAGGCCGACCGCCGCTCCGTGGACCCACCTGCCCGGAGACCCAGGCCAAGCTCCCACCACCCTGTCGCTCTCCACTGTTCGCGCCCGGAATCCCACCCTCGGCATCCTGCGAACCACCCACCCACGCTGCACATCACCGCCGTTGAATCTTGTGCCTTACCGATACCACCAAGCAACGAGCCGGCTGGCGGCATATCGCAGCTTGACTCGAATCCGATTGTTCTCGTCCTCGTCCCCACCGATTGTCTCGTGAGCACCAAAAGACGCGGCACTGGGCTCCGGGCACCGCCACGACACGGCCTCCTCTACCCCGAGAGATGCGCTCGTGTCCTATCGACAAATACACGGTCGCTTTTAGGAGGCTGGGATAGACACTGGGAAAGTTTGGCGATTTTGCCATTGCGGCAAGGCGGGCTGCAAGTCTTTGTTGTTAGCCGCCGCCTTGGGCTGCGCGCGCTGCGACCTGGAGGAAAGTTCGCGGTGGGAATCGTGTGATTAGTCTGGGTATGTGCATGATACACCACCCCGGTTGGGAGTCCGATAGCGTTGATTTTACGTCATGCATCAATTGGGCTGCCGGCGGCGTGTGACAAATCTGGTTGATTATCGCGGTTGGCGAAATTTTCCGCTCTACGTGCACGTACTGATTGCGCAGGCCGACAGACTTACCGCGAAGTGTCCAGGCACCGAACCGACTCTGTGACCTGCTGATCGAACGACCTTTTCTGCCTCGAATCACGAAATCGTAGGGAGCTAGAGGCCACTGGGCGGATGGTTTATTCTCCACGCGAAGCTCCGCGCATCACCTAGCACAACCCTCGAGCTTCATCTACCGACTCGCCCTGCGACGACCCACACGAACCGCGCCATACGACTCTCTTTGATAGATCCGATGTCCCAGCGATGAAAGAAAGGATGGATGGAGCGGCGGAAAATGCACACAAAGTGGCCCAGCGCATCCTCCCAGACCGCCCGCACCATCTTTCATTGTCCTTTGACCGCCGATTTCCCGAACCGGCCGGTTGGTGGTTTAGAGGTGCAAGCAGTCCTCTACAATACGTGACGTACATATCCGCTGCGCAACGAGGGATCCTCATGACTCGCGCCGGCTTTGAGATTACGGACGAGTTGCCGCCCCCCATGCCTATCAAGCTTCTCGCCAAAGGCGAGGCCAAGAAGAAGCTGTCCTTGACGGACTATCAAAATAGAAAGAAGTCAGCGTCGCCAGTGGAGAATGGGATGCCAGCGAGGATAGAAACAAAGACGAATGGCACCGTCCATGCGAAACCATTACCACCAAAGGATGACGTCAGAAAAGATAGTAGTGTGAGGGTTAGTGAGAAGGTCAATACGTCACGCCAGGTTGACGCGCGGCCAGAGAAGTCACGGCCAGAGACAAACGGGGACAGGTATGTTGATCAGACCCCCAGGCTGTGGCATGCGTTGCAGCCCACTGACCAACCCGGCAGAATCAAAACTTCGCAAGCGAAATCGCAACCCGAAGCAGAGAACCGTAAGCGGGCCGCGGAGGCAGGCGGAGATCCGCCTCTCCCGAAAAGAGCCAAGGGCGAAACTATCACGGCAAAGACGGACCGACCGCGGCAATCCAAGCCAGAGACGCCGCGGGGCCGGGAAACGACGGAGAGGCTATCAAGAGATACGAAGACGGAAACATTACATCCTACCCACAACGGCATGCCTCCCTCATACTCTGACAGGGACCGAGAGAACACCTCATCTCCAAGGTCGACGATTCAGGTCAACGGGTCAAGGCCACGGTCGAACAGTGGGACTCCGACGCCCCGGAAACCAGAGCCGATAATAAAACCAGCTCTACCGCGGCTTCTATCACCCCTGCCTCCGTCTCTGTTCCATGAGGACGCCGAACAAGATGTGTCGAAGAAGAAACCGACGACCAAGGTAGCGAAGCCGGAAAAGGAGAAAGCAAAGAAGCCTCTTAAGAAGATACCGGCGCTACTCTCTCCCACGTTACCCCCAGTTATCGAGGAGATTCTTGCCCTCCAAGACCGGAAACAAACCGCTTCAAAGGGAGTGTCTAGCCAATCGTCTAACCAGTCATCCGACTCATCAGGCGGCGCAAGGAAGACAATAGTGGCCGCCCCCCCTGGATACCCGGCAGACGAAGAAGAAGTGAAGCATTCCCGGTCCTCCAGGATTGTCACCCTTAAGCTCAGGAATAAGGCGAATGCGAAACGGGCTAAGGAACTCCTGAGCCTCCCATCTAAGTCAGCAAAAGATGCACTTAAGAAGGAGCGCTCGGAGAGTGCAGAAGCGGCCCCTCCCCCAGCCAAGAAGCGACCACGGGCGGTAGAGGATGTTCCGCAGGAGACTACCGCCTCTAAGCGGCCTAAGTTAACCGCAGACGCCATTACAGCAAAGCCAGCTGGGCCGACCACTCCGCTCAAGCACACGGCTACATCCATGTCCCGGGTGACATCAAGCCAATCCCAGGGCCAAATTCACACTCCAGCGGCCACAACCGGCCTCACCCCAAGCACCTCCGATAACCGGCCCCCGACTCGGTCAGAGCCTCTAGACCCCAAAACGATCGCCCAAGCCGAGTCCTTTAAGGAAAGGAACGTCGAGTATACGCGGCTTGGCAGCAAGCTCAAGCACGCGCGTGACGATCTCCTACGTGACCGCGGCTCTGCCCTGTCGCCCGCCGATGAACGGCGCGTGACGGCCCTGCACTTCGAGATGGTACTCGCGTACATGGTGGCTTTCGACTCGCTCAACCAGTCGCGTATGCTCGAGCGGAAGGTGTGGGAGGTCGCGGCGTGGGAGTCGCTGCTACCGCACCTGAACGAGCTACGAAGCCGCGTGCAGAACAACAAGGCGCTGAGGGCGCTCGCTGTCCAGATGCACGCGCTGAGCCTGGAGCAGATCACCAACGCCTTTGCGACCCTGGACCCGGGCGCCGCCGCGGCGACGTTTGCCCGCTGGGGCAAGCACAACCGCACGCGCACGCTCATGTGGGCGGAGGCGGTCACCATGTGGGAGCGGGTGGACGAGCCGAGGATGAGGGTGGCCATGGGGCCGTGGACGACCGTGGATGATGCGGTTGCGGCTGTCTTGGGGGTAATGAGGCGGTGGGCTGAGCGGGAAGGGGTGAGGTGGCAACCAGAGGTCAGCGTTAAGGGGGAAATCGAGCGTGAGAGGGACCGCGAGAAAGATCGGGAAAGGGACACCTACAGGGATGGAGACAAGGGTCACGACAGAGACCGGGATCGAGACAGGGACAGAGATCGGGGTCGAGATCGGCCCAGGGAGCGAGAAAGGGAACGGGAGCGGGATCGGGAGCGGGAGAGACCTAGGCAATCGCTCAACCATGGGCCGAGGCACTAGACACCCCGATACCAACCCGCTCGACCTGGGCTACCTGCAACTACACACGTGCATGACGCCATCCTCCGAACGACCAAAATCCACCTATATACTCTACATTTCAACCCCGCCAGATCTCTCTTACAACATCTACCCGCTGTCATCACATCACCATGCATAGCACATTAACAAACATGTCGACACATTGTATTATTTTAGCGTTGGTTTCCTTCCTACTTGCACGGGGAGGACAAAAGGAGTCGGTACCACAGGGCAAAGAGGCAGGCGTACACAGCAATCAACGGACAGCGGCGACGGCGCGCGGCGTTTTACGAACCACCGTTACTTTTTCTTTCCCTGTTTATATCACTTGGTTCCGGATGGGTGATTCGGAACGGGCGAACGATACCTCACGATTTCTCTTTTTCTTCTTTTTCTTCCGTGTTCTTGTCTTTATTTGCTTGATTTACTGCGGAGCCGTCCTGGCACGTCGGCAAGCCCGGCATCCGGACGGCTTGACATTAGGCTGGGTGGCGAAGGCGTGCTGCTCACCATTGGGGTTAGGGGGCTAAGGCGATGCGAAACTTTTGTTGTTTTTGAGACCGGTCGATGGAGGAGAGCGAGTGAGAGATGGCGATGCTTGTTTGCATCCAATTGGCCGTCTGGATCTGTATAGGGTTCTGTATTTCACACCTTTGACGGTTCTTTTTCTCTCTTGTTGTGGCTTGTTGTCTTGTCATGTTGTTTAGTGATACCTGGCGCAAGCCGGCCCGATGGAAACAGGGCCTTGCAGCCGTTACTGTTTTGTTTTATGAGCTGTCTTGCGAGACGAGGAGCGCTTTCTCGGAGGAAAAGAGCATCTCGTGTATTGTATATATATCTGGCTTACCTATTTCCGGAGGCACTCCGTGACGAGAGACTTGCGTGGTTGTTACTGGATCTTCTCGGGTAATATGTGCATGTGAACAGACACTGCCTGCGCGGGTAGATGGATAGCGTTGGGGAAACAACCTATAAATATATTTTTCACGGTGGCCCTCGATGATTCAGTTTTCGTGTCCTGTCAGTGAGAAGCCGGTTATCATTTGAGCTCCTTTAAGAGGACCGAAGCAACTACCACTATGGTACTGAGTGCCGGCCAGGTACCATTGAGACACTCCCCAAGTATCCGCCGACGCCGACGCTATGCCCGTCTATTCCCATGTCCGCAACAAGTTGCGATGACCAGTAGAAAGAGAGAAACTAAGGAAAACATCCTTATCGCGGCCGAGCATCGACTCCCTCCCAACGACCGACGCCCCTCCACCATCGCCAGTGACCCCAGCCAGCCAAAAGAGAAGAAGGAAAGAACTAGCACACCATCCCGGGGAAACAAACCCAACCCAACCCAGAAAGCCCCTATGTGCGTCCTCTTGTATGCCATTCCCCCCCTCTTCAATAGCCCGCACCACACCCCTCTCCCCAGCCCAACGAACCGAGCAAGAACAGCGAGCGGCAGACAGGCGCTCAGGCCGGAAGACAGGCGCGGCCAACGCGCGGATTTAGAAACTGTCATCCTCGCCGCCGCCAAACAGCATCTGCTTGTCGCGCTCTTCCTGGTCGCGCTCCGCCTGGGCGAGGAGGGCCGGGTCAATGGGGATGGCGGCCGGGGCGATGTTGACGCCTGTGGTGCTGGGCATGGTGCTGCTGGGCATGTTGGCGTTGCCGGGCGTTGTGCTGGGGATGGTGCTGCCGGGCATGATGCTGCCGGGTATGGTGCCGGGAATGTTGACGTTACTGCCGATGGCGGTGTTGCCGGGCATGTTGGCGTAGCAGACCAAATTTCCGGGCACGTTGCCGGGCAGATAAGCGTAGCGCATATTGCCGGACATGTTGCTGGGCATGTAGAGGTTGCCGGTTAGGCTGATGCTGCCGGGCATGTTGATGCTGCCATGCATTATGGTATTGCCAGGAATGTTGCCGGGCATGTTGGTGTAAGCATTCATGCGAACCAGGTTGGCGTTGCTACCAATATTACCGCCGATGTTGCCGGACATGCTGCGACCGATGGTGCCCCCGAGTAAGCCGGGGCCGGGGCCCATGTTGCCGAGGCTCATGTTACCATAGCCCATGCCCGTGGCGGCAACGCCCATGGGGGTCATCATAGGCCTGCCGAGGCTGGCGCCGGTAAAGGTACGAGCGGGGATGCCGCGGGTGCCCCTGGTGCGGCCAGTGCCCCTGGTGCGGCCAGTGCCAAACAGCCGCGCGGCGGTGGCGTTGGGATCCTCGCCCGAGTAAACAATGAAATTGTTGCTAGCGGCGTTGCTGCCGGTGGTGTTGGCAACATTGGTGCGGTTGCCGCCGGCCTTGGTTCCGTTGCTAGCCTTGATAACGCTGCCGACGTTAGTGCCAGTGTTGGCCTTGGTGCTGTTGCCGGCCTTGACGACCTTGCTAACATTGGTGCCAGGGCCGGGATTGGTGCGGGCGTTGGCATTGAGATAATTGTTGGCATTTTTGTCGTTTCCATCAGTGGTGTTGCCCTCGTCGGACTCGCCCTCGGTCTTGCTTTTAATGTTGGCCTGAGAATAGAAGCGCGACTGGATATCGGCTGGCAGGCGAGAGAGCCACTGGGTGTGGACCTCAATAGGGGACGGGCTGACGGTCCACTTGCCTCTGAGGTAGATGAGGATAGCCTGGCGCTGGACGACCAGGTCGGGCATCACGGCCGGGAAGTCGACGAATTCGTCCGTGATGGCGGCGGTGGGTTCGCTATGGCGGGAAGTTTTCGTCTTGGTCGGTGTCTCCGGGGTTCCAGGCTCAGACGTACTCTCCATCTCATCTTCGTCATCTTCATCCTCCTCCACCATTTGCTGGAGCACGTTGGCATTTTCCTCAATCCGGAGAATGGCCTGAGATTTCGCCTTTCGTGTGCGGCTGCTCAGGGTGGTGCGCGGGGCGGTGCCCGGCGTGGCGGTACCGCGCTTGGTGGAGGCGGTACGCTTCTTGACACCGGCGCCGGTTCCGGTGATGGTGGCGGTCTTTTTAGATCGACCGGTGGTGGGGGTCTGAGGGCCGGTGTCATCACCGCCCTCCTCCTGGGCCCTGGGAGGGTTGGGCCTGCCACCAACCCAGTTTTCGAAGCCAAACTTGCGCTTGACTTGACCAAAGCGGACCTGACAAAAGGGTGTTAGTATCGAATTTATTTTACTTAGAAGCGGGGGGAGGGGAAAAGGAGAATAGCTTAGGAAGTGCTGCCAAAGGGACCGGACGATGGACTTGGGTTGAAAAGAAAGTCTACCAACCTTGGCGGTCTCGGCATTCTTGAGCCCGGAGGCGGCCGCGACGCCGTCCCAGTCAATCTCGGGCCTGCCCTTCGTGTTCTGGATGACGGAATAGAACAGGTGGGCCTCCTGAGCAGTCGGCTGAGGTACCTCACCGGCCGCGGCGGCCGCCTTAGCCGCAGACCTGGGAGGCATCTTGGTCCTTGCTTTTTGGTTCGTTCGGGCGAGGCTGATGAGGGGTTCTGCAGGTCAGAGAGTAAGCCATCAGTGCAACCACAATCTAAAACAAAGAGTAATAAGTGGCGATGGGGAGATGTAAACTGGGAAAATCGATGTGTAGTGACCGAGACGACAGAAATGCTATCCCGAGGAGGGACAGTGACGAAAGTAATGGAAGTGACTTGCGACGGACTGGGAGAAGGGAAGAAAGGAATAAGGGCAGACGAAACGAAATATGTGTAGAATATAGATTTATAATTCAACTACTGTTGAACAAAGTGCCAAGGCCTGTGAAGTGATGAACTTACTATGATATGTGACTGTCCTTGAGCTGAGGGGAGGTTGTTTTCGTCGCAATGAAAAAAGCTTCAACGAAGCTTCGATTGTTCTCCAAGGTTGGTGGAAGAGTGGGAGAAGTTCGAGAAGTTCGAGAATTTATGCTTGTGGGTGGGCAAGGAAAAGAACTTGGGAGCACCTTGAGATGAAACGGCAACAACTGGGGAGGCACTGTGCCCTAATGATACACGCATTGCTATTGTTTTGATTCAGAAACCCTAACAATAACAACTGGTTATTCACTGTGCTGATAAGAACTTGAGCCCAAGCTGGCAGGCTTGTGACTGAGGAGAGGGTCCGGAACACCCCAGACCTCACTTAGAGAAACATGACAGGAAGGACCACGAACTTAATGGGATGGGGTGGTGGGATAACATTGACCCTTTGACTCAACAACAATGACACAGTCAACATTGAGTGACGAAAGCCAAAGGCAGGAGGACTGTATTAATCACATCATCATATTCGTAGTATTTTACACCCCATGTTAGTTAAGTAGGTCATGCCATTGACAACCCAAGACCCATCTCAAGCAGGTAGGTAGACAGCATATGCTTGGGGAGACACACCTAAAAGAAAGACCCTCTAGACCCAACCAAGCCAGCAACCAAGCAACAAGAGCAAAAGACAGCGTAGTACATGTAACCCAACCGGAAGCCATCATTCATCCCTGAAGCGCTCTTCTTTTCGAACCCCCCCCCAATGTAAGCAAGATAGACCGTAAGCAAGATAGACAAACAAGACAAGCATTAACTCAAACACTCAACATACCCGTTACACACATCAAGCCCAGCCAGATCCCCTCAACTCTCAAACCTCAAATCTCAAACCCCTCCCCATCCCACTCCCCCTTAACCACCCCCCCAACACCACCGCCACCACCACCACCACCACTCATCTCCAACTCCAACTCCCTCTCCCTAAACATACTCGTCCCCCCCACACCACCACCACCACCACTAAGCTGCAACCTCAACGGATCCACACCATGATGCCCATCATGCTCATGCTCATGACCGTGATGGTGGTGGTGCTGATGGTCGCCGCAGAACGGGTTGCTGCTGCTAGTGCCGAAGCCGTTGTCGAGACCGTAGCCTGAGCCGAGGCCCAAGTTCAGGCCGAGGCCAAAGTTGGGTTGGGGGGTGAATAGGGGGTTGAGTGCTTGTGGTTGTGCCTGGTGGTGGGAGTGGTGGTTGTGGTTGTGGTTGTGGTTGTGGGGGTGGGAGTGGTGGTGCGGCTGGTGCTGGGAATGCCATGGGCTGGGCGATCCCGTGCTGTCGTAGCACTGCTGTTGGGACAGGTCGTAGGGTGATGGGGCGGATGCGGAGAGGGGTGGGGAGCCGGCGCCGACCATGTGGTGCTGGTGTTGGTTGTGGTGGTGGTGCAGGAGTTCGGTCGGTGGTGGGCTGTGGGGGAGGAAGCCTTGCATGCTGGCGACGACGCCGTCGGAATCGCTGCACGGGGTCAGAAGACGCATTTGCATGCGGTGGTGGCTGTTGTCGATGTATGGGGTGGAAGATGCGGAGGAGGATGCTGTGGGAGTTGCAGTGAGGATGCCGAAAGGAGAGGGCTCGGGCATGGAGGTCGCAGTTTTAGCGGTGGCGGTGGCGGCGGAAGTGGAAGCGGTGGTGGTGGGGAGGCGTTCTTTCTTGATACTGGGAGAGGCAGCGGAGAGGACGGAGGACTGGTGGAGGTGTTGGCGTTGGTTAAGAGGGTTGACAAGACCTGGCTCGGCTTTCATCATGGCTGGCGTGATCATCGGCGCGGGAGGTTGGGATGGTTGCGGGGGTCGCTGGCTGATGCTTTTTCGTTCAGACTTGATGGCCGGGTCGACTGTCTTTTCAGTCTTAATGTTCCCAATTCCGCTGCCGCTCCTCTTTACGATATCCTCCTCCTCGTCCTTCTTCGGTGGCTTGTTTACCGGCTTGGGGCTATCGTCCTTCTTTTTCTTCGACACGCGGTTCTTGTTGTTGGTGTTGTTGGTATTAGGACGGTTCCGGCGCTGAGGCTCCAGGCCTAGCATGGCGGCTCGGAACCGCGAGTATCGCATGCGAGCGGCATGGCCGTTGGTGATCTCTTGGGCGAGGATCGGGTTGTGAGCCACTTTGTTCCAGTCGATCTGGATTCAGGGGCAATTAGTCCTCGACCCCTCTCCCGATGGTCCATGGTCACCTTGGTCACTTACATCCTTCAGGCATTTCTGCTGTAGAATTGCGAACAAGAAGCGGGCCATCACATTGTCGTTGTTCGACATGGCGGCGGTGTTGGTGGCCGGGCCACGATCTGACCAAGAGGGAGAGGGATAAGGGAGGGAGGGTGAGGAAAGGAGGAGCGGTCGAAGGCCAGCGACTCAGCCAAGGACAGAAGAGAAGAGTAATATTGGGAGTGAAGCAGGGCAAGTGGCTCAATATGAACCTGAACGTCAGCGCTTGACCGCTACGAGGAGAAGCTGTGGCAAGGATCACTGCAGCCGAAATCCACTGTTCAGATGTGGAGAAGTGAGTCACTAAGATGAGTGGTGAGGCTGGCGGATTATATGCCTGTTTCACCATCAAAAGGTTGCTTCTGGCTTGGTGCGGACCAGGTCCAGCTTTGGAGTGGGAGGGGGGGAGAAAGCTCCCATTATCTAGGGAAGATTTCCTTGGTTCAGAGAAAGCAAGGCGAGGACGCTTATCTATTATTTGTCTCCAGTCAAACAAGATATCGCAGCAAGGAAGCCATTGCCAAATGAGGAGAAAGGCGCATGCAAAGCTGGAGCTGGAGCTGCATGGTGAAAGCGCCGACAAGAGAGGGGAGGGGGGTCTCCTTTTCCGGGCGGAATTCTCTGCTCAGCTCAGCTCCCCCGACCTATTTATTCCTTGTTTGAATCCAGCCAGATTGAGAGCCCCTGCGTCTGCTGCCACAGCAATGCGATGGTTGCCTGGTCATCATTCCGGAGTGGGGAAAACTCAACAAAAGAAAGCGGATCGCCCACTGAAAATCGGTGATGGAGTTGCGCGGGAGGGACTGGGCGACACGCCACCGCGGCACTTCCGCGTAAAGTGGTTTTTTTCCAAGACATGCAGATCCCTGTTCAAGGCCGAGGACGGTGACACCCACCCAGACAACCCCCCGGCTTGCACTACGCACTCCTGCAGGGAGTGATTGCGAGGGCTGACGAATTGAGTCGCCCCTCGTCGAAGCCCAGTCGCATTCGCTCATTGTTCACCTACACTAAGTGATCCGGTGAGAGCAAACAACACTGGTCCTCTAGGAGGGCAGGGCAACCAACTCACGGGGCAGTCAGTGTAAAACCCGCCCAAACACGTCCGAAAATAAGAGCGAAGTGGTGGACTGCGCGTCACACATGAGTCACTTGGCTGTTCGCCGCCGGAATGCGGGTGATTGGCGGGTGAAAACGGAACATTGCCGTTTCATTGGCCTTGAAGGCACAGAATCGGTCGGCTGCCTGAGGATGCCGACAACCTGTCGCAGCGAGGTTGGAGTCAAATGACTGAGGCAGCCAAAATGTTTAAGCCCGTTTGAGGGAAGGAATAAGGCGGAGAAGCTGCCATGAACTGGTTGGCTGCCTGACGATGGCCGTTAGGGTCAATGCGGGAGACATCCCCCGCTCCTGCCTTCTCGCTTCCATGGCATTCTGGCCCGAGACTCGGCGGCACAGGGCCAATTATTTCTTGCCTTGCCAATCGAGTGGGTGCGAGCAAGGCGGGTGAGTGACGGCGAAGCCATCGAGCATGTTTGCCCAATTGATAGTTAATTCGTCATCCTTGCGTGTTGCCTTAAAGAAGAAAGGTCGGTCAGTCAAACTGAGGCGCGGACTGTCTGGAAAGAGAAGGTTGGAAAGTCCGAGGCAAACAGCGCGTCGCAATCGGCACTGTGGGTGGGCCCTCTGTCGCGATATTGGCGCGCGATCATCTGACAGCTCATTTAACCCGCCCCACTCGAGACAATGCACGGCCCAGAAAGGTCAAAGAACCTGCGAAAGGAGTCAAAGAAGTCAAAGAAGTCAAAAGAATCCCCATTCCTCAGGCAGCCAGGCAACAATGTAACCCAGCCTGCCTTTCGCTTCCCCACATCCCATTCTTTTCTCTCGTCACCGGCTGAATGATCAGGCCGTTTTCCCGCTGTTTGAGTCGCTCGCCCCGCCCGCCACCCATCCATCTCTCCTTAGCAAACCTTAGCAATTTTTAGAGTCGTCGCG